TAACTGTAGGGGGACAATTCCTCCCAATGACCACAAGTGTTGACCATCACACTAATGTATCATAAGTTATAGATATAGTAATTTTTAGCAGGGTTTTCCCTGAGACCGTAAAGGTGTTTCAATGATTCCTTTGCGCTGAAAAGGTTGAGAAATGGTGATATAGACAATGCTCATTTGTGAACAATCCTTCATATATTATATTGATGTATAAATAATGATGATTCATCAATTAAAAGTGCATGTTCAGGTAATACATGTGGTATCACCGGATGATGTTGAACAAAAACAGGAATTTTAATATTTTAAAGTAATTAAACAGACAAATAAAAAAAAATAATTTGTCAAATGGAAGTGGATGAACAAATTCAATTTCTACAGATTGATTTTTCTGATGATGCTCATCTATGAAAGATAATTTCTATGAAAATACATAGACAAAAATTAGACTCAAAATTGCACATTTCTTCATACAGCTATCTCATGCTTATAGGTAGCTTAAGACTGCATGTCTTCTGGGCAGGCAAACAGATTTAAAATATAGGGATCAATTCACTAAATCTTAACAATTGCTATTTGCCATAACAACTCTTGTTTTCTGCGGTGACAACCAAAGAGAGATGAAGATTTAGATTTATTTTCATTGTAAACATAATGGTTTCAGCCAGTGAGGAATGCATGTTTGTAGCTATACTTTACTTTATACAGATCTTCACTGTTTCAATTAGGCATTCAATCTAAGATCCATTATTGGGTTATGCTGAAACAGTGCAATAGACCTATTCAAAACACAGAAGGCATTGTTCCATAACATAACCTACTTGCTTTGATCTTTCATTACAGATGTTGCATGAAAATGACTTTCAGATTGACATGTTTCCATAAAAAAAGAACTCTGCACAGTCTCCTGTTCCCTGGCCAGCTGTGTTTCTTATAAAACCATGGCTAGCAGAAGTAGGAAATTATGCTTTTCTCAAGACGGTTGATTAGACTGTTAACAAAAGTATAATTTTCGAACTGACACTCATCTAGTTTTCTGGAAGGGGATTAAGTGAGTGTTTTTTGCTTAATTATAAATAAAAAAATCTGTAATAATTATGCAATATGTAATTACACAACAATGTAACTGTAATATTTTGTAAATCTAGGTCACGCCTTGTACTTGCAAACCAACAGTTTGGTAGCATGTACATCCTTTGGAATTTATCTAGACCAGTGGTCTCCAAACTGTGGCCAGGAGGGGGGCAGATGCAGCCCCTTCCTTGCTTTTGTCTGGCCTTTGGAGCACTATTTCATCTACTGACACCAGCAATAGGGCTTAATTCCCCCAACTGACACCAATTAACTGCACAATTCCTCCCAATGACACCAATAATGGGGCATGATTCCCCAATGACAAAACGATGGGACACAGTTCCTCCAAATGACATCAACAATTGGGCCCAATAACATCAATGATGGGGCACAATTTCTCCCAATGACACCAATAATGGGGCACGATTCCTCATATTAGCACCAAAAATGGGGCATTATTTGTTCCCACGAATACGGGGACATTTTCTACTCCCAATGTACACAATCCGGCCCCCCCTAAAGTCTGAAGGACAATAAACTGACCCTTCGTATATAAAGTTTGGAGACCCCTAATCTAGACCAACTGTGATCAAGATTCAAGTAAGATACACAGGGGTTGATTTATAAAAGGTAAATAGGCTGTTCACTTTGCAAAGGAATGTTTTCCTTAATTTAGTGAATGTGGTGAAAATGCACTTTGCAAAGAATACCATATCACATGTAAGAAAAAAAAAAGTATTTTTACTTCCACATGCATGGGTGGTGGAAATCAGTAGAGCTTCCCCTCATTCACTAAGCTAAGGGAAAAATTACTTGCAAAGTGAACAGTCTATTTGTCTTTTAGTAAATCAACATCATACCAACTGACGGCAGATATTGACATTTAATTTACTTATAAGAATACATGTGGTTAAAATATAAATGTTTCCTGGCTTTCAATATGGTACCAGAGCATAAAGGAATACATAACATATAGCTCTGCTGATTCTTAGCACTTGGCATACTGGAGAAATGAGCCACTGGTAGAAGAGAAATAATCCCCTTGATTTGCCCTTAGATATATTACGTGAACAAAAAAAAGCTTTTCTTGCTTTATTAGGTTTACCTAATATAATTCTGCTTAGCCAAAGGAAAAAGTTACTACCACTTCAAGCATCTCATGTTTGAAACAACCAGCTATGGATACTATGGCCGCCAAAGGGGCCTGTCTCCCCTTCAACAACATCCTGTAATAAATAATGGAGGCTGCATATCTCTGAACTGTACGCTGAACAAACTTCAAGTGGTTGTAAAGGAAAAAACATTTTTTTAAAGAAATAACAAACATGAATATATTCATCTGCACTGTGCAATAGAATTGCACAGAGCAACCCCGAACTGCCTCTTCTCGGGTCCCCCAGCTGGCAGTCCTGGTTCCTCCTCTCTAGCTATTGCCCCCAATAGGAACTCACTTCCCATGGGGACCCTCGTGTGGGCACGCTCCTAAGCCCACAATGGGACTCTGCCCCACCCCCTGCTCCCTTGTCACTGACCTTGATTGACAGCAGTGGGAGCCAATGGCTCCCGCTGCCTCAGCAAAGCCTGTGAGACCAGGAAGTGAGAGTAGGGAAGAGCTGCAGACATGCACAGTGCAGAATGAGGGCTCAGGTAAGTATAAGGGGGGTGAGGGGGCCAATACTGATGCCTAAACATTTTTTACCTTTGTGCAAGCAATGCATTAAGGTAAATAAATGTTTAGGCTTTAAAACCAATTGTTCTGAGTCACTAATACATCCTTTCGATCTTCCTCCAAAGCCTCTCTGCAGGCTTAGATACCTCTATGACTATGCCCCGAGAATGCTTGAAACACATCAGGGGAGGAGTTGAGTCTGACAGAACATTTAAGTGACTTGGAGCACGAAAATCTGTTTAAAGCGGAGTTACACTCACGCTGTCAAACAGCTTTTTAGCTGTAAAAAACGTGGTAAAACATGGTAAATCGTGGCAAACCAGCATTTTTGGACTTTTTTTGACCGAAAAAGAAATTTTTTTTTCGTCAAAAAAACCCTCAAAAAATGCAAACTTGAAAAAACGTGGCTAAACGCTAATAGAAAAACACTAAAAGACTCCTGAAAAACTTGTGTTTTTAAGGTGACTTTACACAGCTAACGTTACCAGCGTTATTAAAACGCCCCGTGTGCAATGTGAAATACATAAAAATAAATACAACCTGTATGTTGGAAATTATATACTCTTATCATTATTTATGTCTAGTACTTATAAGGTACATTCAATATATTTATACACCACGTGAATAAAGTGCCAGCTCAAGTGAAATGTAGTCCAAGAACCTGTTACATCTTAAAGCGGAGTTCCGCTCACTCTGTAAAAAAAATAAGTCAGCAGCTACAAAAACTGAAGCTGCTGAATTTTAAAAAACACACAGTTACCTATCCCTCGGTCCCACAGTGTGTCCCCTGCAGTTTGTTTTACCAGCCGTCTTCTCTTCCTGGGCGCCGGCATCTTCAATTTGGGCACCCGGTTGTGACAGCTTGCGGCTTCACAACCGGGTGCCCACTGCGTATGCGCAAGTAGCGCTGCGCTTCCTGAATGGTCCTGTAGTCTTCTGGGACCTGTCACATGTCCCAAAAGACTACGGGGAGGGAGGACACCTTCCACTTCCGATCGCCTAGGCAATCAGAGCTGAAGTGGGAGCAGGTACCTGTCAAACTCCCCCCCCCCACCACCAAAGGTGCCAATCCTTAATGGGGAGCGGGGGACCAGTCTTTAAAGAGGAACTTCCCTTTTGGGTGGAGATCGCCTCGCCAGTGTGTGACCTACAATCCTTATTTGCTAACATATTTCTAGGTGTCTACAAAATTAGCTGGCATATGTCTTTTCTGGATAATGTTGTGACGATGGGGCCAGTTAATTTAAACTAGAGCAAATGAGCACAAAATATGTGTTTTTGACCACAGTGAACCATAAAGATTCCTACTTTTTTTTTTTTTTTTTTTTTTTAATAAAAGAAGACATGAGCCCTGATTGGATGCCACTTGTAACACCTGCACTTGTGTGCTTTCATTCATTTTCTTAATTTAATCAATCAATCCCAATGCTTACACTGACATGTATATACTCAATAAAGATGTGCAAAAAGTAAATGATATGCAAAGTGGAGGCAACCAAAATAATTTTTGAGTTGATTTGTCTCCACTGAACTAAGATCTGAGTGGTTGCATTCAGCAACATCTTTGTTGCTCTTTGTACTGACTTATGTCACATAAAACAGCCTTTCTGGTACAGAGGCATAACCAGTAAAAAACTTTATGAAAAATATTTACAAGGAAAGTATATCAAATGCAGTCTCTGACAGGCACGATATTCCTTCATATTTCTTTATAAAAAAGCTTACATTTAACTATAAAACAAAAGGCATTGTCTGAATTAATTATACTGCTTACACCAACATTTACAGCTGCAGTACTGAATAAATAGCCTTTTATGGTTACGAGCTTTACTAGATATGTCTGGTAAATGTGAGGTAAATCTGATATTTTATATGAATTTTATCTTTGTACAACTCTCAGACACAGGTGCACATTAAACGCTCATGTACAATGGCAGAATTATGCAATATAAAGTTTAATTCCATTTGCACCTTTCTGACTTTTACTGCTATTATCATTTTTTTTTGTATAGTTATATAGTTTACAACCATTTTTCTAGCTGTTTTGGCAGTAAAGCTCAAGAGGTTTAATGTTAGGGCATATGTGCAGTGAGTAATAATGCTTTTTCTGACAAACGTAATGTATCTTTGCCAGTACTAGCACTGATGAAAAGCTGGTATACCTGTAATGCAAAAAACATTTTAGCTGGTTTCTTCATTTCTATTGTGGATTCTGGATTGTGGTTTCAGTCTTGTGTTTAAGATGTGCATACAAATGACTTTAACATTCCTGTTTTCTTTGTTCCAATGAATTTTTCAGGTTGTTTAATGTTTTCTTGATCCTCAGAGCTGTAAGTCTCGCTGATGGACTATGATACCAGCATTCCCTCGTGATCTTTGTAAGCGCTGATAACACCTAGTAGGAACAATTATATTAAAAAAAATAAATATTTTTTTGTTTTGAATCATGTAAGGAAGGTTTTTTTTTTTTTTTTTGCTGTCTGTGTACCATAGGGAAATTTCCCTTAACTTGCTTACCAAGACCGGAAGTGAAAAGAAATCTCCCAATAAGTGGCAAACTCCCCTCTTAGACAAATGTGCCTGGAACTGCTGAGCCTTTTGGAAGATATCGCCTTATGTCTTGTTGTGGGGACATCTCTAAAATGTTGGATTTACCCTCACTTTCAGTCTGTCCAACAGGGACAAAGACAGCAACATAAACTTGACACACCGTTGAACCCTCTGTTGGTCAACTTCCTTGATATAAGGGACTTTAAGTGCAACCCCAATCCCACAGAAAGCTGACAATATGAAACAAGAGATGGTCAGAAGCTGCAAACATACTAAAGGAGTTGCTGGAAACTGGGCACATGATTCAGAAGTCAGACATAGCCTGGAAACACATTACATGCACATTAGACTTCTACAGATCTTAACTATTGCAGCCACCTAGTCAATACTTTCACATTTTTACTTCTTAGGCCTGTTTCACATGGCGCTTCAGTTTGTATAAGAGCAGCGTACAGCAAGCGTTTGCAAAGTATTTGCAGAGCTTTTAGCAACCTTTGTTGAAGCCTTTAAATGTGCCCTTCAACTCCAGTTTGGAAATGTTGAACACAGATCCTAATGTGAGCGCTGATTGCCACTTAAAGCTTGTTTAAAGTGACAGTCAGCACCTCCACTAAGATCTGTAACATTTACAAACAGGAGCTGAAGGATGCTTTATAGGCTTTAAGAAAGTTGCTCAAAGCTTGTCAAACACTTTGCAAAACCAAGCTGACGCCAGTATGAAACATCTTTTTTTCACCCCTCTTAAAATTTACTTGTGCAAAAAAAATTTTATTAAATTAAATTAAACATAAAAGCAGAAAAGAGATGGATAACACAGAAAAAGTAAGAATAATGAAAAATAAATAATGTGTTCTCTGGTAGATCTCTATTTTGGCAATTCAGCTAGCTGCATTGGGGCCCAAGGATATTAATATGTTTCTAGAACTTAGGAATATAAAGTATGCTCAATAAACTTCAAAGTACCATGGCCGTATCTTGTACACTTAGGTCTTCTTCTCTCGCTGAAACCACCCTGCCCTGCAAAATCACCAGTCCTGGCTGCCATTTTTAAACAACGGACCCTGCACTGTGTCTCAGGAACCACTGTAGTACATTTGGCAAATACTGTTTTTAGGCTTTACTATTAAAAACACTATAACATTATCAGTAATGGTGTGAACCTCCTGCGCTCAGAAAACCTTCAAAAATTAGTTAATTAAATAATTACGAGAAGCTGCTCACATTAAATCATATACCAATGATCTTCAGCATAAACAAATGGAACCAATGTAGCGCTACTCACTTAAAAAACACATGTGAACCAAAAATGCCTAATAATAAATTGAAAAATATTTTTATATATCCACTTATGTGAAATCATGCACATAAAGCATATATGTGAAAAAACCTAAATAGATAAAGTGAACTAATCATATAAAAGAATATTACGTGCTCATTATAAATGTATATATACATATACATAACACACACAACACCAATGTGTATTAACACATATATATAAACCCCATAAAGTGAAGAAACTCAAAAGGTGCATATATGTGAACTCGGTACATGCACCTAAACATAAAAAATAATATTTCCGTGTATATAAAGTCCAAACTTAAAAATGATCACACTCAGGTGAACACAAAACACTCGTGCTGATATTTGTGTATAAAAGTGAGTTGATAGTTGAACTCATCCGAACACCGGCTGAATCAGCCTCTCACCTTAAGGATTCGACCCTTGCGAGTCAAAGCGCTTATTAGGATCCCTCTCACAGATCCTCCAGGTAAGTATCTCTCCAAAAACTGCTCACATTGTATCAGAAACTCCCCCAGGGATCCGCACTTCAACACTGGCTCCTTTCTCCAAGTAGAATCAAATGCTGCGCCAATCACTCATATAAAACATAAAACACAAGCCTCCATTGTGTAATATGTTTATTATTAAAAGTCACAAGCAAATAGAAAGCGCACTTACATAAAAAAAATCGTGTTTAACACTTCAGGGCTCCAATCCCACGCTTTTGGATCCAATCTGCATGGGTGTAGAAGGGTATATCAAGGTGTACCAAAATGGCCACCACGCCGGAAATGCGTCACTACGTTGGGCCGACGCGTTGCGTCACAGTATCATGTGACTTTCTCAGAGCCCTGAGGAAGTCACATGATACTGTGACGTAACGCGTCGGCCCAACGTAGTGACGCAACGCGTCGGCCCAACGTAGTGACGCATTTCCGGCGTGGCGGCCATTTTGGTACACCTTTGTATACCCTTCTACACCCATGCAGATTGGATCCAAAAGCGTGGGATTGGAGCCCTGAACTGTTAAACACGATTTTTTTATGTAAGTGCGCTTTCTATTTGCTTGTGACTTTTAATAATAAACATATTACACAATGGAGGCTTGTGTTTTTTATGTTTTATATGAGTGATTGGCGCAGCATTTGATTCTACTTGGAGAAAGGAGCCAGTGTTGAAGTGCGGATCCCTGGGGGGAGTTTCTGATACAATGTGAGCAGTTTTTGGAGAGATACTTACCTGGAGGATCTGTGAGAGGGATCCTAATAAGCGCTTTGACTCGCAAGGGTCGAATCCTTAAGGTGAGAGGCTGATTCAGCCGGTGTTCGGATGAGTTCAACTATCAACTCACTTTTATACACAAATATCAGCACGAGTGTTTTGTGTTCACCTGAGTGTGATCATTTTTAAGTTTGGACTTTATATACACGGAAATATTATTTTTTTTATGTTTAGGTGCATGTACCGAGTTCACATATATGCACCTTTTGAGTTTCTTCACTTTATGGGGTTTATATATATGTGTTAATACACATTGGTGTTGTGTGTGTTATGTATATATATATATACACATTTATAATGAGCACATAATATTCTTTTATATGATTAGTTCACTTTATCTATTTAGGTTTTTTCACATATATGCTTTATGTGCATGATTTCACATAAGTGGATATATAAAAATATTTTTCAATTTATTATTAGGCATTTTTGGTTCACTATAACATTATCATTGTTACAATGTATTTAGAAAAGTGTAGGTCAAAAGGGTGCAATTGTGTTTATTCATTTTTAGATTTACTAAAACTGGTGCATTCAGGATCTGGTTCGCTGTGCATGATAACCAATCAGCTTCTGACTTCAGCTTGTTCAATTAAGCTTTGGCAATAAGACCTGGAAGCTGATTGGTTTCTATTCAGAGCTGCACCAGATTTTGCACTATCCAGCTTTAGTAAATAACCCCCATAGTGTTGCTAAACTAAAAAAAAATGGACACCCTTCCTAATAATTACTATAATATGTCTGTCTGCCTTGTTTAACTTTAAATTCTCTATTTATAAATAAATTACTTCTGCAGCCTGGCAGTCACCAATAGTGTGGTGGCAACAATCTGCGGGCTCATAGAGCCTCTGCACTGTTGCCACCATACTGCGCATGTTCCCATTCTTCTATGTAAGTAATCTGTGTCTACGCACTGCTTACTATGAATGAAATCCCCTAACTGGCTATGTTGCTATGGTTGGGGGCAGGGCTAAGCCGAAGTCTGTCACATGTACTGTGATGTCACCTCAACTTTTTCAGGCCTTCCCTGCAAGCTGTCCAAAGTGGATCAGAGCTGTCAATCAATGATCTGATCTGCTTGAAGATGTTAGTGGGTAGATCAGATGCTTGAAAGACAGCTTCACTCTGCTTTGTACGGCCTGTGGGAGAGCCTGAAAAAGCAGAGGTGATGTCACAGGACACATGACCAGCTCTGGCTTAGCCCCGTCCCAGCCCAGGCTGTGGGGGGAAAAAGAAAAAAAGTCATTTGACTCCCTATTATACACAGGCTAAAAAGGTATTTATTACTAGGTTCCTAATGCATGTAAATCAGTGTCTACTAGTGTCCCCTATCATTTACCATAGATGTGGTTTATACTATGAAGGTTTAGAACCACTTTAATGCTCAGCTCATGTATAATGCCAGAAATTATTTTTGTAGCCTCTAATCCTAAATGTTTTTTAAAAAAGCCTTTTTTTAAATTTGTAAATAACATTGCCATGCTTTATGCCAGAAACATAATTTTAGTGTCGTTTTAAATGGTGACTGATTTGGCGGCATGATACCTTTACCGTAGTGGCACACAAATGCAAAGTTTAATGACTCCTTTTAATAATTTATTTATAGCTACATTTTGGGATTTGAACTGATCAGGTCTCCCACCTGTTGCTTTTTAAGGTACATAGTAGTATGGGGTCCTGAACAGGGGTAGGGGCCCTGAACTAAAAACAGTTCAGGGGCCCAAAATACACTTGATGGCCCACTGCCAGTTTGCGCTAGTACATGTACAGTATAGCAGGTCTCCAGTGGTTACCACTTTAAGTCCATCTATCTAGTTAAGCAAAGTTCTCACAGCCTACTAAAAATGGTAAGAAATTGTTGTGTGGATGGATGCAGAGGCTGATCTACAAATTACAGTACAGAGTGTATACACTGATGGAAAGTCTCTGCACCACCTAGTGCACATATCAGGAACAGCAGTTCTTTTATATTTATCATGAAGAATTTGGACATAATCCCTGTCTAGCTTGTAAAGTAGGATGTGTTATACCTAATTCCATTCTACCTCCAGATAGCAGCAGACTCTGCCAGTAACAGTACAATCCATTTGTTTAATCACATACTGTAAGTGACATGGAAGACGCATTAAACAAATGACAGAAATACCATAGCATTGTCTGAATGTCAGATCCTATTCATAGCTGAGCGTTTTGTAACATAAAACTCGAAGCTCCAAAATGTTCAACATCCCAAAGGCATGTATTTCAGTTGTGGCTGTTCACATATGACCACTCAGGCGCCTGTATCTCAATGCATTATACTTCAAAAGCTACAAGCTGTTTTTGCAGCAGATTTGGCAGTTTATGGCTCTATAGACTACGATGGGAATGAATTAAATGCGCAAATGGAGCATTTTCAATTTTTTTTCAGGCATTGTTCAACCTGTACAAATTGGTCTCCTCCACCTAGTGCTTATCATTGACTAAAGAAATCACCTGAAGTTTGAATACACATGTAAAACGCTTAAAACGCAGTACTAAAACAATCATATACATGTGCAAACAACTTCCAAAAATGTTCAAATATAAATCTGTTACAATGCTTTTTTTTTGCCAGGAGATCCTGTCAGTTATGACACCTCGTGTTGCAGGCTGACAATGCTAAGCCATTGCCTTTCAATTAGCAGCAGCATTGTCAGCCTGCCATTAATGCTCCTTCATTTGTGCATTGGGCTGCCAATCAATTCAACTGAAGGTGAGTATTACATGCTTACAACACTGCTTACTAATTAGGAGGCAGCGGGTTTGCATTGTCCTGCAACAGGAGGTGCCATTACTGGAAGGATCTCCCGGTAAAAAAAAAAAAACATTGTAACAGATTCACAAAACAATCATTGTATTAAGAAAACAGTATACAGTGAGGCATGACCCAAGCATACTGAAAAATACATTTTGGTTTTGCATACACTTTTACATATATACACATACTTATACACAATAGAATGGCATAAAGGAGATATTTTGGGTGCATAAAAAAAACTATTTTCATGTCAGCTCTAAGACCGAGAGTTTAGCAGTAACTTGACCACGGATCACTCAATTCTTGGTCTGCTCAGAGCAATGACTGTCCTTCATAGCTCTCCACTCTGCTCCTCCTGCATTCATTGGATCACTGAGCAGGAGAGAGGGGGCGAGAGCAGCTAGCTTCAGACAGCCAGAGTCAGCTGTCAGTCAAGCAGCTGGGTGGATCCTGACAATATGATCAGGATCCTTCCAGAGCCTGAAACGGCTCTGTAACAAGCTGATAGCAGACAATAGCCCGCTATAAGCTGACTCTGGGTAACAGGAGTGCAAAAGTAAGTGCACCTCTGTGACTCACAAGTGCAGTATGGTCATACTTCTCTTTTAAAGAGACCCTGTCATCAACCTAAGTAAACTACAAGTAAAAGCACAGAAAAAAAAATTAAAATGCTTACTTGCAGTGTTTTTCCATTTAAAAGATATATTTTATATTCACTTGCAATGAGCCTTTGAACTTTCTAGAACATTTGACTACTCTAGTAAAAGTCAGTTTCCTAGCTCAGCCCCCCTCCTTACTTGCCCTGTCTTCTTCTGGGAGTATGCAGTTATTCTCTATTCTCTAGTTGGACAAGATAGAGATCATGACATCACCTTTCCATCACTCCACCATGTCCAAGCAGAAAATACCTAGTGTTCTTTATATGTAATCTGTTTTTTTAAGTTTGAACATTTTTCACACGAAAAAGAAAAAATACAATAAATGGCAAATATACACATGCCATCATCATCAGAGCAAAAGAGATAGAAAGATAATATTGGTAAATATAGTAGAAAAAAATAAAACATCCCAAAGGAGTAAAGAGAGTACACAGAGCAATCTCAGACACCTGCCTTGTGTTCTTTAAAAAAAAAAGAGGCATTTAGTGAATGGCGGTAGTGCTAAGTGAGCTGTAGTCACTTTACAAAAGGGAAGCTGCTCAGCACAGGACCTGTTAGACTATGGCGATCACTGCTGTGGCAGCAACTACTACATTGATTGTCACATTCCACAGCAGTACCTCAGGCATTAGACAAGCATACTTAAATTGGTCCAAACTGGGCCAATGTAACTATGAAATAAAGATCTTACCTAGCCTTCAGCTTTAAATTAAAACATACAAAATGAGCTGTGTAATACAGCATCTTATCGTCTTCATCAAAAGCAATCAGGCATCATCAGACCCCCAAATGAAGCATATTACACGATTGCTAAAGAAGATCTGTGTCCTAATGCAGAATAAAACTGTTTAGGCCTCGTTCACACACCATATGTGCAGAAAAATGGATGGAAACTGACGTGCAGATTTCACTTGCAGAGGCATCCGTTTCCATCAGTTTTAATGCACGCTGCAATGAGTTTTATACCCATTGCAGATTCCTGCTCAGATACTAGTGTTGTGGTGTGAAGAGGACACATAGAGAACAATTCATTCAGTTGTGCAGAAACACTGATGGCTCTGCACCATGGTGTGAAAGGGCCTTCAACATGGTGCAAATCTATTGTTAGTGGAACACTAGCATCCACCCAAATACTAAACTTTCACTTTGGACCCATCCTTACCAATCCAACATTTATGGGAACCACTTTATTATATACTTTATAAGTATACTTCTACTTACTTTATCTAAACACCATGTGTTAGGAATATTTGGTCTCTGTTGATCAACACAGACAACTTTCTTCATGTCCTCAAAACTAGGATCATGTGGAACAACATCATAGAAGGGAGGCCTGTAGTCTTCTACCATACCTAGAGAAAGAAAAAAAAAAATGTCAGCATTTTTCTGTGTGCATTGACAGGAAAGATGAAGAACTAATTGACATTACTTTTTACAACATATACATAAGTAGATATATCATATTCAAACTTCAGAAAGTACAATTAAAATGCTTAGTGTGAATTTCACAATATCATTAGGTTATTCAATTTTTTTTTCCAAAAGGTTATTCAATTTTTACTGTTCTGAGTTTTATTAAAGTTTTTTCAGTAAAACAATAGAGGCGTGACAAATGGAGCATATGGTAGAAAGTTGACATGAGCAGTGTAACAAGATAAAGACATGGGAAAACCCAAGGGGAGTTGCTTAAGAGGTCTGAAAAATAGTGCATAAATTAGAGATATTTTCATATAAAGAAAATGTTGTCCTAAATCTGCATTTTATGAAGGGAGAAAGGGGGAATTCAAGATGGTGACGAATTGGGTTGGAGAGATTTGTGATCTGGTGGGGGGTTTTCTTTTGCTCTTAGAGCCTCCTTATGAGCAATCAGGTAGTGGCTCATCTAGGTATAAAAAGGATTTATGTTCCCCCTAGAGTCAGGGTTCAGTCATAAGCAGGTTGCATTGATTTTGATAGCGGAACAGTAGCCAGGAATACCATATAATATGGAATTCATCATCTTGACCAAGTAGAAATTTGGTCAGCTTATGCAGTTTTTAATACAGAAACAAAACAAATGGTAAAACAAAATATTACTCTTGCTATAGCTACTTTCCAGATCTATAAAAACATGCACACTGTTTAGTCTTCCTTTACCCCCTAGCCTCATCCCATACTTACAATTTGCTCTGCTCTAAATTATAGTAAATACAAACTCCCAAATTAGAAGTCATATGCCATGTGTGCCTGTGGCACATTGCCAATCACCTGCTAAGTTTATAAATGTCTATCTGGCACAAGTTAAAACGAAAGTGACCCTTGCAGACATTCATAATTTAGACAGGCTAGTCCTGCAGTCTGTTAACACAACTGACGAGGAATGCAGGACTGTAATGTTATATATGTGTTTAAAGACACCCGTCTATAATGTGGAAGTCAATGAAGAACACTGACAAGCTCAGAAAATGGTCTTCTTATCATGATTCCTGTATTCAGGAGGCATGTCATCTACATCTATATAATATAAATCACTGGTACACAGGCTACAAATTTTGCACAATATATATTTGACATAATAGTGGTGTATCTTTAAAAGTAGGACTTCAAAATACAAACGTATGGGAGCGACTACTGTTGATTTTCTTATAAAGGGTATCTGCCAGAACACTTTCATCTCAGTTTAGAAATTTCTTTGTCTGTCCCATGAGAAGATGAGAAGAGAGCAGCACTTACAGAATTACTGAAAGCCTCTAGATCTCATGAATTCGTTTTTTTATCCCATGAGTTGATATTTTTATCTCCACCTGCTGCTCTTAATATGAAAAGGTTAATGAGAATCTCTCTAGGGTGGAAAAATAGAGGCACGCCTAGTAACACAGCAAAGGGGCACCACATTCTGTGATACATTCATGCTGCTTTTAATAGACACCCAACAGAACCTCTCAATTATTGTTAGACAGATATTACCCTAAAATAACAATAATATTTGCCAATCTTTGTAAATTTACAACATGTTTTTATGGTAAGGCAGGCCATACATTATGCAATTTTTTTTTTGCTTGATTCCTCCAGTCAGTGTTGATGTGCGAATCCCTCCAACTGCGCTATTGTCTTCTAACAGTGGAAGGTTTCCCAGCTGTCAGAATACAATGATCACTGCTGGAGGCTACAGCTGTTGGCAATGATCGAACGAAAAAAAAAAAACTTCATTACACCCAGTCTATCCATAGATACACCGAAATTCAATACATCTCTGGCTGGCTCAAATGTTACACAATAAGTGTACTTTTACACAAAGTACACTTATGCTTTTTGACCCCCCCCCCCACATTGTTCTTGCTAGTTAGGTATGCACACAGGTAGGGCGAGAATATGTATATGAATGTGAGTTAGTGACCTTAAATTGTACGCCCCTTGAGGGTTAGGGACTGATGTGAATGTACAATATATATGTAAATCGCTGTGTAAATTGTCGGCGATATATAAGTACCAGTACCTGAAATAAATACCGGTGCACCTTGATAGTGATGTGCGGCTTACATTTATTTGCTAAATTTATAAGGCATCATGCACGCAGGGTGTTTGAATTTCTCCACTGAACACCTTTTACTCCTGGCAGGAAAAAGAAGCCTAAAGCTGCATATTGTGCATGTGTTTAGGTACATCAAGCATTTGAGCATTTATGGATTCCATTGGCCAGAATATTCATTTATAATTTTTTTCCTTTTGGCTGAAAAATCCAAATACTTGCCAATTTTGGAGTTTTTCTATTGACTTACTAAAGGTACTGTAAATAAGCTGTTCATTTTGCAAGAGAATTTCCTCTTAGCTTAGTAAATGACATGGAGCTCCACTGACATCCATTATCCAATCATGTGCAAGCAAATATACCAGTTTTATGTTATATTACATAGATTAAGTATTCTTTGCAAAGTGATGTTTTACCAAATCCACTAAACTATGGGAAAATTGACTTGCAAAGGGAACAACGTATTTGCCTTTAGTAAATCAACCCCACAGTGCCTGGTATTTTCTTACTCGCCCTTCCACAAACTACTTTGTTCGCTGCCTGATATTGTGCTGTCAAATTAAGCCCCTGACAATCTACTGAGCTGAAGATGCAAATAAAAGATGACTTGGAGTAGGTACTGATCAAATAGGCTCACTCTGTAATCTTGTTCAGATAATCTAACAGGAATGTAATTAGTGTTAAAAGGCATATCAATGTACATTAAAGTTTTAAAGACCCCATCCTATGCATGGTATATATATATATATATATATATATATATATACTGTTTATACAGATTGATGAAAAAATAACAAAGCTACATATATTACCTTAGCTGTCCTTAGTTGAACTGCTGAATATATTGCTTGATATACAGTAAGATAATAGATGGAGAACACAAATTTGTACAGTATTTAACGGGCAATTATGGAAAAATTTTAAAATGCTTCAAACTAAATGAATCTAACTTAATAATGAAATAATCACTTATATGTATATTTATTACAAATACTCAATCTTTTTTTTTTTTTTTTAGTCTTTTTGACAAGGCAAATTAAAATGAGGATCAGGCACATGGGCTTTTTGACTGGCCTTTTGTGCCCTTTTGTACCCCTTTGCTGCTCATGGTCAGACAATAAAGTTTTCAACAAGCAGGCTGACTTTCTACCAGGGCCTTATATTTAGTGGAAATGCGGTGGAACACAGCACCTCCAGCACTGAATTTAAGTAGACAAGTGATGCTGGGGGGTCTATTGATGCTAGCTGCTGAGGGATCTAGACTGCTGGAGGTGATCTATTTTTTTTCGGGGGGTTTCTATTGTTGCTGGGGAGGTCTATTGTTGCTGGTGGGGGATCTACTTTTGCTGGGGGTGGGTCCTATGTTGCTGGGGATCAATCATCACTGGGACGGATCTATTGTTATAGGAGGGCTCTATTGTTTCTGGCTGCTGATGCTGGCTGTTGGGAGTCTGTTGTTGCTGGTGTGGATCTGTTGACGCTGGGAGGTCAATTGTTGCTGGGGGGAGGGGGGACTGTTGTTGCTGGGGAGGTCTATTGTTGCTGGCTGTTGGGGGATCTATTATTGCTCGTGGGAATCTATGTTGATGAAGGGGGGGTCTATTGTTGCTAGCTACAGGGGATCTGTTTTATTGCCTTTCTTGTCATTATTAACAAATTATACAAAATGATACTTGGTTCTGTATTCTCTAAAAGGGATGGTACTGGGAGTTATGGGGTGGAACCAAGGAATGGTGCTTTGAGGTAGGCTGGGGCAGAGACAAGGGGTGACTCAGAAGGGTTCCAATACCTATTCTCTGAGAAAAAAGTCATGCTTTCTACTATATTGTAGTTAACAAGGGGCAAAGTAATACCCAATACAGAGGTAAGAGCTGCAGTTTTTTATAGTATATGTAACAACAACAAAATACAATAACATTTTTTAATTAACTACCCTTTTCCTAAAAAAAAACTGTTTGGTGAGACAGTCATCATAAGATAGGTGTGTTGTAGATTTTGTAAATTTTGTACAGGTGACTGTAGCTGTTTCAGGGCACTTGTAACAACACAGTACAGTTTTTTGGGGTGGGTTTTTTGCACTTAAAGTTAATTTTATTAAAAGATTTTTAGATATCTACTCCCTTTTATCCAGGGGCGGACTGACCATTTGGAAACTCGGGCACTGCCCGAGGGCCCGGGGTCAGTAGGGGGCCTCATGAGATGCCCCTGGTACCTTTTTCATAGGCTTTTTTGAATTTGGGCAAGGACACAGGGGCCCCATGATCTCCTTTTGCCCGGGGGCCCCATGAGTTGTCAGTCCGCCCCTGCTTTTATCTATTTCAAGTGGAATTACTGCTTGGATCAGAAGTAGGGGGTAGATCTTCTGAAAGCTTGGAAAAAAAGTAAACTGCAACTGGAAGGTCCACTTTCTTTACAGCTCCCCAACCTCTAAATACAAATAGGTTAAATAAATAAATAAATAAAGTTTAACCAAAAACAGAAAAAAAAGGTTTACCTCGGCCCATCAGCACGCCTCCAGGAAGACTTGGGTATTATTAATAAGCAAAATACCCTCTACGCAATGAGCAACAAAAAACAATAAAAGCGCATGTTTATAGGTTGCAGCCTGCACTGATCCTACACCTACACCTACACCTATAATTTATATTTTAATAGTGCTGTGCAGCCACACAAAATACTTGAAACAAGTTTTAGGCTTGGTTAACACCTATGCAGTTTGCATTTGATCCGTTTCTGAAGTGCTTCTTGCGTTTTTTGTACATGTGTTTTTGACGAGTTTGTGCTGCATTTTTGATGTGTTTTGGTTTTTTAATTTTCTTGTTGCTATGCAGATTAAAACACATA